ATTTTTTGGCAACATTGTTACTCCACGGTGCCGTAAACAGATTAGCTTGGTTTTGAAGTTCGCTCGGAAATCATTCCACCACAAAATGCGCTAAAAGTAAAATTTGTTCTAAAATAACCATCCACAGGTATGTCGCCAACATCTAAGTTTGAAAAAAATTAACATTTTCCAATTTTTTTACCTATATTTTTATCAGTATAATTATCAAATAATTAAACAATATATATAATAAATGTATTGGTTTTGATACACGTACACGATAATATTTTATGAAAAAATCAAACTTAAGTATTATACATAGACATTTTACAATAACTGTATAGGCAAATAGGAAAGGCTTAAATCATTAATGACAGTAATAATATGACGACTATACATATTTTTATACTCTAAATTACATACACATTTAAAATGGCACCATAACGCAGACAATATTATATTAATTAACTTAAAACGGCAGTCCAGAGTCATATTCCCGAGACAGGTGGAGGTGCACCTGGGTGTTTTGCCGGTGTAGGAGTCAGGAGGGAACAAGGATATTATAGGTTTCTGACAATTTTCCAGTTGTTGAAACATTTATTTACTCGCTGAGCATTGACATTAATAAACACAATTATGTAGCTTTAACTGAATTAAAATTACATTATTAATTTACTCGTTGACTCTAATTAATGATTGTTTTTGATCGTTTTTCAATTTTAAACCTCATATTTTTGAGAATTGAAAAAAAGGGAGCCAAGCACCCATAATATAAAAGTATAAAATTTGTGTTCGATAGAGTTTGGTTTTTTAGGAATATTTGCACGAGTTTTAGAGCCCAATAAACGTTTTCTGAATACAACAAAACCACTCACAGTCCTATATTATAAGCTCCATCGCGGAGAACACAAAAATCTCGAAACATAATAATATATTATTATTAGGGCCTATTCTGTTCCAATTCGTTCCAATTTGTTGTGTCGATATAGTCAGCAGCCCCGCCACCGTGCTGCGTCCCTACAGCATGTATAGTGACATGTCGCCGTCGTCGGGACCACGCCGTTCTTCAGAACTGATTGGTCGCTTGGAAGTTGACCGAAATCGATATCGGGTGCACGATGACAGACGAACGGGTTTCAGTCATCGCGTGGTCCAGGGCGGGCGGTATGATGTCCCTGTTGACGGTCATCGGTATGTAGTACGACCCGTTGGCGTGCAACGCGAATATCGGTACATCCTGTCGGCCGTCTTCGGTGCAGTCGGACGATTCTTTCCGGCGCCGTTTCTTGCCCGGCGCGTAGTAATCGGCCAGGTCCTCGCCGCTGTTCTCGGCGCTGAACCGCTGTTTGATGTCCGTCTTGAACTTGTACATTGACCCGTTGGACGAATACGAGTCCGTCGTGAACGACATGCTGCACCTGTCCGCCAGGGTCTGGATGGTCATGTAACAAAACGGAATGTTGTATGACGCGATTGTAGAAGTATATGTTATATAATATTATTATTATATATTAGGTATAATATTCAAAGGTGGGCATTAACTAGTTGAAAAGTTAAAGTTCAGTTAAAAAGTTAATTTTTTTTAACTTTTTAACTTAACTAGTTAGTTTATTTTCTAATCAACTTATGAACTTAAATAGTTTAATTTTCAATTGAAATAACTTAGCTTTTCTCAGTTGATTTAAAAAAAATCCATTAAGTTAAAACATTTTGAAATTGTTCGTTTATACTTAAATATTACGAATTTCGAACGCTCATAAAAATTTAATTTGACTTTCTTATAGACATTTTTTTTTTTTTGATAAAGGTAGATAATCGTATAAGGAATCTTGTATTACATTTTAAAATCTTAGATTTAAAAAGAAAAATTTTTATGAATTCTTAACTCAAAATAATTTGCTAATTTTCGTGATTTTTCCATATTTTGTCAATTTTTGAACTTTAAAACTTCCTTTGAAACAATATACTATAGGAGCCTTCTATTAAATTTTCAACTTTTCGCAACCAACAAATAAAATTTTATTGATATTTTTAGAAAAAAAACTAAAAAAAGATGGAAAATGAAAATGTCCTCTAAACAATTCAAAATAAATCAAAATATTTTTAAAATGTCATGGTGTATACAAAATGCAAATATAAACAACCAGTGAAAATGTCATGTATATACCTATGTTCATTTCTTTTAGAGTTACACCAAAAATAAAAATCGATTTTTTGGAAAACCGATTTTGCGTAAAAATTCACGTTTTTCCTTAATTTTTATGTTGTTTTTCCCGGTGCTTGTGAAAACTACTGGGAAATTTTTACATTTGACCCCCCCAAAGTACCAACTAGATTCATTTTCCCTATCAGAAAAGATACTCTTGAAGAAAATCCAAGCACTTTTACTGTCCTAAAACGTGATGACAGGAAAAAAAAAAAAAAAAAACACACATCATTGTAAAATCAATACATTCATCGTTTCACTCAGAATCTAAAATAGATCAACTTTTTTTAAACTGAGTTAAGTTAATATTTTTTTCTATATGAACTTTTAACTTATCGAGTTAAATTTATAATTTGATAACTGCTAACTTTTAACTAATCGATCTTGTGTCCTCTTAACTTAATTTAACTTGAGTTAATTATTTTCATTAACTTGCCCACCTTTGATAATATGATTGGTAGATTGTCGCATGTAACGCGTTACACTTACGCACCTGGTCATATGACGCGTTGGCCGACGTGTGAGACTTCGAGTTTCTCAAAGAATGTTTTTGTTGACCGGTCTCGTCGTAAGCCCCGTCCCCGTCCAAGTATGTTAGCATATTCGCGTTGAACTTGTTCACTTCCAATATAATCTCTTGTTTCATCACGCCATGGATCACTTGTTTCCCTGCGACGCCACACGAATATCGATTATTTAATTAATCATTATTATTAACATTATACATATTATAGTATAATTATATTATTATACTTTAGGTATACACCGGTGACACATACCTTTGATGATCTGAGCGTAATGCTGTTGCAAGTGGTTGATGAGCGACAAGCTGCACAACCCGTGGTTAGGTGGATATCCGTGTGCCCCGACGAGATACTGCATAGTCTCGGTCAGACATTCCAAAAATCCCATTCTGTACTGTTCTGCCATCAAGATGGAGTTTTCGGGTTGCTCGGGGGTAGAATTATTTTCGGACTTTTGGGCTTCCACTGGTTCCGAGGGTTCGTGTGCAGGTGGTTGATTCCCGACTATATTATAATACTATTATTATATAACGTGCATGAGTATAACTACATAAACGTGTTTGCTTTATATTATCAATTGTATATCCTATCACGGATATCTATATATATATATATAGCCGTCGTACCCATGAGTCGAGTGATCCAAAAAATAAAAATCCTTACCCGGCGAGGAAACGTTGGATTGGAGGTACTTCATGTGTTTGATGGCCATTTCGATTATTTCGGTTTTTTCAACTCGACCTCGACCTTTTTTCATATATTCGGCCGGTATGAGCCGCGACAGATCGGCCAGGCAATTATTCATTCGATCGCGTCGCCTTTTTTCTATTATACGATGCGACATCGGGTCCTGCAGGATAACAAGAAACATTATCGTCAGTGCGCCGTTTGTTCGTATTTTTCGTCAATGTATAATATTAAATTATTACGAAACGCTTCGCGGTGTACGGAGAAATCGGAATTTTTTTCATACGAAAATTATTATATTGTCCTAAGCGATTTAAATATACGACGGCAATTTGAATCGATTATGATCACGTTTTCGACATTACGAGAAACGTATTAATAACGTCATCGTGTTTAAGAACACCACGTGATGAGCAAACGTCTTGATCGGGGGCGATCACGTTGTCACGCTGCTGTTCGTTTGTAAGTAGAATAGGATCGTATTATATGCCGACAATCAGGTTTTTCGGTACAACGTGATCGGGACAGGTTGTTGAGAAAAAAAAACAACAGACGGGTCATGGAGGTTAAATTAATATGTATGATAAACGTTCCTATGGTATGGAAAATAACGAGTTCGGCGGTAAACGTCGATTAAAAATTTGGATAACATAATATTATGTATATATTATTGGACAGCCGTTTTAGGTACAGGTAGGTACCTACTCTGTACACGAAGAAATATATAAATATTTAATATTTTGCATATCTTTATAAGATATTCTTTGATCAAAGGGTCGTAAAATATAGCACGTATGTAGCTAGGTAATCTTAATTGTTATTATGCCCCTTTATAAAATTACTTATGGATATTATAAAAACAAAATACGAATTTTCCTAGCATAAACGTCATAAATACCTATTAAATCATTTTTAGATGAACGAATTTTACTTACAATTGAAAATTCGACAGAATAGATGTGATCATTTATAAATTAATTTTGATGTCGACCTTCGTTTTATTATATACCCAACTATATAATTCGTATATTGCTTATTGTATGTGTTAAGCTATTCCGCCTATTATTCTCGATGAAATATTCGTTATGTTTTTATTATGTGACAACAACTCATTAACATAATGTCTATAGATCATATTATGCTATGTTGTTTTACGGTAGGTACCAACAAATATATTATTTTGTACTAAACAAATTAAGGTTTAATCATTGGTGGTCGGGATCCCATATTACATTAGTATTATCTAGATCATAATACCTACCTATATAATATAGTATATTTAACTAAAATGTAGTAATTTACATGTTTTAGTACCTGCCTATTCAATTACATTAAGATCATTATCAAGCTGGCATATCTAACAAAATCAAAATTATGTTTTAAGAAAAATTTCATCAAATAATAATTATTATGATTTATAGGACCCATATATTTTGACAATTTAATAAACAGCTTGTCAACACATTGATTGCATTAATTAATTAAAGTGATTAATAAAATCCGTTAATATACATAAGACGAATACTGCTGTAACCAAACAAACTTTTGTTTTACACAATCTGTATACATTATTAAGTTAGGTCTTAGGTTACAAACACATGCTACATTTATTCAGAAACTATATAATGTTGACACGTTTTTTAACAATTGTTTTGTTTTTCAATAAATTCCTTCTTACAAGTAGATGTATTTGATTGCGAGCTTAACATAAATTAAATATTTATACGGAACTTATAGGCACTAAGGAAACTAATGGCATTCAGTTTAAATAAAGTCATTCTGTATTAGGCATTGGCGATAGAGTATAGCAATCGATGAAGTATAATATGACGCTACGAAAAACACTTGTCGATAAGTGATACTTGGATTGAAAGTAATATAATTTAATACATAATAATATACCTAAATCAATATTGTTCGATTACATTAAGCTCACTGAAACGATAATTTTACCTGTGACAACTTGTCCACAGTTTCTCCTACTACAATAATAAACCATTTTTTTTTTTTTTTTAATTTCAATTTCCATGTTTGATTCGACTGCAGTTTACAAGTAGGCATCAAAGAAAATAATCCTTGAAGTTGAGTATAAATGTGTGCAATGGGTTTATTCCTCTTAATTCTCATGAAGTTATTTCCATTGTTAAAGCATTATATTTTAAGTTTATAAATAGAGCTGTTGACTTTATAGGATTAACTGTTACCTGTAAGTATATACCTATAATCGCATACCTAAATTTGATTTTTACATATAAATTTCACATGTGAATCATAATCCACTTATAAGTTATTTGTAATAACATAATACAATTAAACATTCTGGCTGTATTTTCATATATTATGTTATATACCACTGATACCAAATTATGTCATGAATTCTGAACACTCTTATAATTATATGGGTATTGTAATATGACTATCACGCAGAAAAGTTTAAATGCAAAGTATCGAAAATGTAAATAAAATAAAATATGTTCGTCATAGTACTTGCGGTCGAGCGTTTTCATCGTGTTTACATTTCAGCTTATATATATGTAAAAATTATACATAATTATATCGTATAATGTGGTAGATACCAATTTTATATAGGTATACCATGTGTATATAAATAACACTAATGATCAGATGCCTATATAATACGAAGAACGTTTACAACTGATAACCACATTCGAGTGTTGTCGTAGACAAACGATGGTAAACGGTATCTGCTCAGGTGTCTGGTATGCATATAGGCTATGATATGTCTTTGATGTCGATTATAATATTGTGCCAACTACCTACAGAAAATCGTTGATGTGATAAATTTAAATTTTGAGTTGGCGAATAATTGACCGACCCCTACCTTTATTATGCCATTAAATTGCGTTACTTACCTACCCTTTTTTTGACTTTCGAATATTTTTTATTATAACCATTATATTTACACACAATCTCAAGTTACAAATGTTTATGTATTTATTTTGTTTTCATATTTTGACACTAAAACGATTTACATATGGGAGGACTCCCCATATAAGACTTTATTATGGTTTTACAGGTGTTATCAATAGATAAACAGCTAATAAATGTAAGAATGTCTCAGACGGTTTTAATGTCATCACGTGTGCATTATAAAACAAACATTATACCTATACCATAATATTATATTGGGCTCAATGATAAAAAGTAAAAGAAAAACTCTCAATTCTTATTATATAGTTTTTTTTCGCATATTAAACGAAGTATTAGTATACGTTTGCACGCATCAACCGAGCCAGTATAGTCGTGTAAATTATACCTTTTAAATGTATCCAAGTACTGTTACCGATAATTATTTTGGAAAGTATTAAATACTCAGTAAAATTAGTGTTTGAGTACAGAAATAGAGATACTTCCGAATTTGTTTAGCCTTTTTTTTGTTTTACATTTATTTCATAAAGCGTTTTATACACGGTATTAATTTGGTGTAAGTGTGGAACTATAAATTACTCATCTGGTTTTTTTTTTTGTCTAGGGTTTTGATGGAGGGTATAAGTCGCATACTCACATATACAGATTATTATTATACTGTATTCAACTATTTTATTACGATTTAAGTATGTAAGGTCACTTCTCGTTCCAATTTTGATTTAGATAAATTTAAATTTAAATAACAAATCATCTGTTTAACAGTTTACAGTAAAAATTATGTATCTCATCATCTGGAGAATAGAAGAAATTTGTATGGCCTTGGGACACCCCCATACAATGGAACAAAGATCTAAGTAATTGAAAATATGGTTGTCAATTAGTGTACATTTCAAAAATTAGAATTTCAAAGAATTTATTATTAAAGGAAAAATGGGTAGACCGTACTCGGCGAATCAACGATTAGGACTGGCGGTATTTTTGGTGTACCGGTATATTTTCGATATTTTAGAATACCGGTACATCGTGAATCGGTACAATTACCGTTGATACCTATAATACCATGCCACGGTAATTACCGAAATTACCATATACCTACATGTATTTTATTATGTTTATACA